GCCACGGGCCGGCCCGAAATACTGAATTTCCATGATTTCATTTGGGCCGGCCCCGTGGCGCACTCGGGAGAGTGCAGCGCTGCTCCCGCTGCGGGTTCGGATCCTATATAGGACTGGCCAGTGCGCTCACTGGCTGAGCGCGGTGTGAGTGACACCACACCAAGGGTTGAAATCCCCTTACCGGTCATGAAAAAGACAAAAAAAAAAAAAAAAAAAAATCATTTTGGACAATGAATCTGTTTCACAGAATACCCAGACCTCTGCTTGAACATGGTGTCTTGAATCCATACATTTAGGTCTGCTTCTTCCAGGCAGTTGTTTACCAAAACAATAGTTAAAAAAAAAAAAAAAGTCCACAAAGATAGTTAAGTCCTCAAGAAGAAATTACAGCAGAGAGATTAATTGATAAAATTTTGGAAGATGGAAATAAGATCTTTATTACTCTGAGAAAAATGAAACACAGTTGCCTACACTAAAGGAAGCCAAAGAGCAAGTTAATTTAATTCAGTGACTGGAAGAGTCTTGGTAATTACAGGTACTAACTCCATATCTGAGGACAGTGGGGTGGGGCTAAAAATAGGAAGACTAATTGAAAATCTTTAAGAAGAGTTGCTCTCTGTTTCCCCTTCCTCACCCATACATTCAGGTGAATGCCTCACCATCATGGCAGAAGACTAGAGAAATTTTATTCCAAAGGATTTGAACCAGAAGGACTCAGGATTCAAGGGCACCAGGCACAGCTGAGATTGGGATCCAGTGATAAAGATGGGATTATGAAGTTTACATATTGAATAGTAGGACCTCTAACCCCCCTTCTCCAATTAGCCACAAGAATGTTGGCCACTAGGCTTATACCATGTTCCTCTGTCACCACCATCCTTACCCCGAGGCAAGAACTTAAATGATTCCTGTCTGTGGAAACTGACCAGCCCAAGAGAAAGTACCTCCTTTATTGAGAATGGGTGATCCCCAACAAAACTGGATCCCTGCTTGATCAACCCACAGTGAGGGCACCATTTGACAAGTGCAGCCCATGTACACTAAGCTTCCAAAGAATGCTTTTGTGGCTTTGACTCTAACATTAATGGACAATCGGGGATCAACAGACATTTGGGGAAATCCTGATCATGAAAGAGACCAAAACAAATGGACAAATAAAAGAACTAAAACAGTGCATGAGAAAGAAGAAAACTTCCAAAAATCTGTAATTAAGATGTCAAGGGATATTGTATCCAGGAAACAAGAATGGAATACCATCAAAGAATGTCCTTAGAATGAGGGAAAAAAGGAGGTTGGGGGGAGCGGAGATGCTTAGATATGAACGGAAGGAGAGCAGAGAAAAAATCAGCTGAAAGGTTGGCATAAAGAAGGAGGAGATTGTGCAGAAAATAAAAGAAAAATAATTCTAAATTAGAAAAAAAGCACAGTGTTATAACAGCCAGGTTAAGGGTTCGGATTCCTGTACCAGCCAGCTGGGAAAAAAAAGAAAAAAAACATCAATCCAGGAGGTCCATGAAAAGATATGAGAAAATTATTAAAGTATGTAATGAAATTTCCCAGAATTGATGAAAGTAAGTTTCCAGGATGAAAAAGCTTACTGAATGTCCAATCTAATGAATGAAGAATGAAGACACATTATCATAAAATTGCAGAATTCTGAAGATACAGAGGTGATCCTTTAGAAAGATTACTGGATAGATAAACTGATCACTAAGGATTAGGAGTTAAGATGGCATTAGACTGCTCCATATAATCCAGAAGCTGGAGCATATGTTTTCAAAACTCGGATGGAAAATAATTTCCACCCTTGGTTTAGACAAACAGCTAAATTATCAACCAACTGATTGTAGAATAAAGACATTTTCTGAAATGCACAGTCTCAAAAGTTTTAATTCCCGTGCACCTCTCAGAAAGCTACTGGCGGTGGTATTCTGCCAACATGGAGTAAATCAAGAAAGAAGGTGATGCTGGATCCAGGAAATGGAATCTAACATAGAGAGGCAAAGGAAATCTCTGAGATGGTGGCAAAGGAAAATCCCAGGAGATAGCTGAGCAGCATCTTGGAGTAGGAGTACAGAGACTCCGGGAGGAAGGTCTCCAAGATAAAAAGGAAGGTGATCGGATATCTTAGAATGAATGTTTATAGACCAAACTTCTAGGGTTGGATTTGGGAATGACTTAGTGACAGACAATGGAAAATGAAGGAAATTTAGAAAAATAGAATATTATTAACTCCTGGGATAACAGTTCTAGAAAATAGAAATGTAATTATAGGGGGTCCTGTTTATCATTATACATCTTTAAAATATTTTGCCTTTTCCCAAAAATGTTTAGCTTTAATGTTCAGTTTACAGGAAATACAAGGAATAAAGGAACACAATATTAAAATGCAAAAATAGATAAATAACAAAAGTGAGACATTCCAGACAACTGACATGGTCTCTTTAGCTAACTGGCACCATGGAAAAAGGGTCCTTCTAGACCAAGAAACTTAAACACAGCAGACAGGTATAACTTAAAGGCAGGAGTTATACCTTTAAAGGCACTGGGGAAATTTTAATGTGAACTGGGTATGAGATAATAGTAAGAAATTATTGTAATTAGGTGTAAAAACATTGGCTTAAAACAACACAAATTTTTCTTATAATTTTGGAGGTCAGAAGTTAAAAACCTGTCTTACTGGGCTAAAGTCAAGGTGTTGGCAGGGCTGTGCTCCCTCTGGAGGCTCTAGGGAAGAATCCATTTCCATTACCTTTTCCACTTTCTAGTGGCACCTGCACTCCTTGGCACAAGGCCCCTTCCTCTATCTTCAAACCCAGCAGTGTTGCATCTCTCTGTTCCTTTCTTCCATTGTCACATCTCCCTCTGACCACATTCAGGAAAGTTTCTCTGATTCTAAGGATTTATAGGATTAGGATAGGCCCAGCCCTGATAATCCAGGATAATCTCTTCATCTCAAGGTCCTTAGTTTAATCACATCTGCCAAATCCCTTTTTCCAGGTATGATAACATTCACAGGTTCTGGGGATTGGGACATGGGCCTCTTTGGGGCCATGATTCTCCTAGTACAGGGGCATGGGCGCCATGTCCTTTCCCCTGATGTCTCCTTCTCAGGTCTCACTCTCCCCTCTGCCGTCTTTGCCCTCCTGCTCAACGTTCTGTCCCCGAACCCTGCAGTGCCCTCTCTTAACCCTCAATCCTACTCCATCTCCTCCCCTAGCAGCCTGTACCAGCCTCAGACCCCAGGCCTCAAGCTGCCGTTTGTCTGCCCCTTCCTAAACCACTTTTTTTCTCCCTGGGCTGGAGCCGTTTGTTTCTCAAGGGCTGTACTTCCCCTGTTCTAACCACCCGTGACCATTCTCTGCCGCAGGACCTGGGGCTAGCCCTGACCCTTCCTACCACCAGTTTCTGGATCTGGGTACAGTTCTTTCTCTTTGAGCTCTTTGAAACAAAATCCCCCCTGGGGAGAGAATGCCATCACCAGAGATATTCACTGGTTTCTTATGTTTCCCTTTCATCAAAGGGAGAAGCAGCAAAGATTCAGTCTTTTTCACTAAGAAAAATTATTTAAACTTTATATATTCTTAATTATAGATGCTAATATCAATACAGTTTCCGTGACTACCAGTTAGCAATGTTTTGAGATGTGTGGTTATATTCCACAGGTCACATTAACTTATAATGATTTTTTAAAAGGCCCTCTTAAAAATACCCTTGCAAGGTGTATTAGTCCATTTCTATTGCTTATAACAAAATACACGGAACTGGGTGATTTGTAAGAAAATGAAATTTATTGCTAACAGTTTCAGAGGCTAGAAAGCCCAAGGTCCAGGGGACACAACTGGTGAAGGTCCTGGTAGTCATGACAGTGATGGCAGGGTATCACATTGTGAAAATGGTGGAGCAGAGAGCACAAGAGAGAGAGAGACAGACTCTCCTCTCCTTTGAAAGCCGTCAGAACCACACCCCTGACCACCATTTTTAATCTATCCACTACAGCATGGTCCTACAATCTAATCACTTCTTCAAGGCTCCACCTTTCTTTTTTTTTTTTTCCCTTTTTGTCTTTTTTTTTCGTGTCCGGCAACGGATCGCAGCCCTCAGTGTCGCGCCTGTACCGGACTGGGACCGGCCACGGGATCGCAACCCTCAGTGTCACACCAGCACCTTGCTCAGCCAGTGAGTGGGAACCGGTCTGTATGTGGGATCTGAACCCTCAGCGGGAGTGCCGCCACACTCCCAAGCGGCGCACTGTAGCAGTGCGCCACCGGGCCGGCCCAAGGCTCCACCTTTCAATTACCATGATAAGATTTCCTACCCTCTTAACAGTCACAGTGGGGACCAAATTTCAAATGAAACTTGGGGGAACACAATTCAAGCTTCAGTGAGTTTTGGGGGGGACATTATTCTGTCCATTACACAAGGACTCTCAAGATTGTTAAAGAGAGAACAAGACTGTTTTAGCTTTCACCTCTTTCTAACTATATATTTATGTCCTATCTTTCTTCCATGTCTGCATAAACAGTCCCCTCCCAACCTTTATCAGCAACTCCTGCCTAGGACTGCTTGTGAGTTCAAGACCACAGATAAAACATTTGCTAAATTGAATATGAAGCCTGAAAAAACCTAAAAAGTAATATTTCCTATAGTAAATAATAGGTTTTGAAGGAAAAATTTTGAAGCATTTAATCTTTGCTTACACAAGATGTTCCAGTCTTGTTTTTGTATTATTTTTCTTTATCCTTTATCTCCCCTTTAAAATAAATTTAAGTTAAAAATAAGTCTTTGAAAAATTTTAAGTAAATAATGATATAGGCCAGAGTAGCAACAGTAGTTTACACATAACTGAAATTTAGAGAACAGTTTTACATAATTATGATTTAAAGAAAACAATAAAAATTATTACAAACATGGGCTTTTGCATAGAAAATCTGCCCAAATCCTACCTCAAGCTTCAGTTCAACTTACAACACCTGAGTGCCTACAAGAAATGAGGCTTTGGGCCGGCCCTTGGCTCACTTGGGACAGTGTGGTGCTGATAACACCAAGGCCATGGGTTCAGATCCCATATAGGGATGGCTATGTGGGATGGCCGGTTCGCTCACTTGGGAGAGTGTGGTGCTGACAATACCAAGTCAAGGGTTATGATCCCCTTACCAGTCATCTTTAAAAAAAAAAAAGAAGCAAGGCTTTGAACATGCACAGGAAGGGTCTTGCCTTCAAAGGGCATTCAATATTAAGGGAGACACAAGGAGGGAGGCATGTGCTGGCTGTGATTCCTGCAACGGTACATGTATGTCCTGGATAAACACTGGTCCTGCCGGGGGTGCCACAACAGACACATTCCAGGCCTTTAACTGCTCTGTGCCCATTTGCCCCTAACAGCACAAGAGTTTTGCCATCCTCACGTGTTCACCAAACATCTCCGGCCCACTCTTCCCCAGACACTGCTAGGTGCTGGGGAAACAAAGACAAACACACCAGAGGCTGCTCTGAAGAGGCTCAGACTAGTTGGGGGAACACCCAAGAGAAAAGACCCATGAGCACTTTTTCTATGTTGCTGCCGGCTGGCACGAAACCTAGGCAGAGGTCTGGCACAGTGACATTTGTACACCATGTGTGACACTGTTGAGTGAGCATCTGTGCCATTTAGTCAACTTCTTTTTCTATGAGTTATGGGAGATGTTTGGGAAAGTCCCCTAGGAGATGCTGAGACCAGGTGTGTTGGGCCGAATGACGCGCCCCACTGTGTCCTAATCCCAGAATCTGTGAACATGTTTCCTTATGCGGCAAAAGGGACTGTGCAGATGTGATTAAGGACGTCGAGATGGGAAGAGAATCCTGGATTATCCAGGTTTGCCTGATGTAATCACAATGGTCCTGACAAGGGGGAGGGAGGAGGGTCAGTGAGAGAAGCAATGTGGGATGGAAGCAGAGGTCAGAGTGATCCCAGGCCAGGAGCCAAGGAACAGGAGCACCTTTGGAAAGAGCACAGCACTGCCATCACCTGATTTTTGCCCCATGAGACCCATTTTGGATTTCTGACCTCCAGAGCTGTAAGATACTAAACTTGTGTTTTAAGCCATCGAGTGTGTGGTAATTTGTTAGAGCAGCAACAGGAAACTAATATGCCGGTAACAGCATCCTTAACAACCTTCTCTTCTCATAGAAACAGATGGGGTGACAAACTGAGAGCACCGTTTTGCCTGAGAGCAAGAGATGCACACTGCTCTGCGCCCATTTTCAGAAAAAATGTAACCAAACCTAAGCCTGCTGCCCACTGACCAAACAAAAGACTCAGAAGTCAAATATTGTTGATAAGGGAGGCTAGCATTATTCAGGACTAGTAACCTGAAGGAGATGATAGACTAACCCATCTCAAAGACTCAGATTTACTGAGAGGTTTTAAAAGAGAGGAGTTCTGGGCCGGCCCGTGGCTCACTCGGGAGAGTGCGGTGCTGATAACACCAAGGCCGCGGGTTCAGATCCTATATAGGGATGGCCGGTTTGCTCACTGGCTGAGTGTGGTGCTGACAACACCAAGCCAAGGGTTGAGATTCCCTTACCGGTCATCTTTAAAAAAAATAAATAAATAAAAGAGAGGAGTTCTAGGGAATGGAATGTGGGAAATGAAAAGCAGGAGGGAGGAGAACAGGTAGGGGCCAGGCGCAAATTCTTGCCAAGTCTCCTTCTGGCTTCTGTTTTCATCCTTGACATTCTCTTGGGGTCCTGCAGGATTTTCATTGGCTTCAGGGTGGAATCAGCATAGTTTTATTGACATCTTCCTTGGTTTCTCAGTGTCTGGATAGCGCTTGTCTCATTGCAAGTCTGCAACTCCAGGCAGACTGGAAAACAATTTTACATTTAGGTAAATAATGTCATCTTGCTCCATAACCAAGGTTCAAAATATCAAATAACCATGGAAAAAGAGGGAACTCAAAGAAATGCATGTTAAGGGCTGGCCCGTGGCTCACTCGGTAGAGTGCGGTGCTGACAACACCAAGTCAAGGGTTAAGATCCCCTTATCGGTCATCTTTAAAAAAAAAAAAAAAAAAAAGAAAGAAATCAGCTTGCTTGCTTTGTGTTTCAGAGTGGGAATTCTGATCCTCCGTCTCCCAAGCAAGTTGAGACCTGTCATTGTCACTGTTGGCTTACCTTTCCTGCTCCCTGCCACACGCAACTTCCCCACGCACCTGGGGACAGCCCCCAGCTGTGCTGAGAGGCTCTGGTGGAGGGAGCTAGTATTCCACCCCCACCCAGGGATGAACTGAACTGGCTCTGGGGCTCTGGACCATTTGAAATTGTAAACAACTTTCAGGCAGAGAGCAAATGCTGTGTGAGCCATATCTGGATATTGCAGGCACTACATTTTTTAGGAAATAAACATTTTTCTGTCTCAAGAGGCTGTTCCTATTTCTTGGAGTCCTTCAATTTCTGTTGCATTGCAATAAAAAAGGATCTAAGGAAGGCATGCTTGGAGGGCAAGCCCTAGGGTGGTGCCCATTGCATTTTGGCACCATATGACTCAGTGTGGTTTTATAGACTTTTTGATGCATTCATTTTGTTCAAATACAATTAGACCTAAGTATAAGAAAAAGTGCTTCTCTTCCTCATAGAACTATTTCCAGCTCATTTAACCACTCAGAAATGTCTGTTTTCTGTATCACTGATAATGTTCAAGTGGGGGAGTCTAAGCACTCCTGCTGTCTGCCTTCCCCCCTTGTGCCTGGCAGCCCTCAATGTGTTAAGTGAATTGAGCAAATGCAGGCTGTGATAAACCAGGTAAGAATTCACATTACTTAAAAAAAAAAAAAAAATCTGCTCCAGTGAACCGTTTTGACCTTACCCTGACATTCTACAAAGTGGTATGGTGAAGTGGTGAAGACGGTGGCCCAGGAACCCAAAAGACTGCATCTGAATCCAGAATCTCTTACTAGCCGAAGGGGTCTTGCCTCGGTTTTTCCATTTGTGAAATGGGGCGGGGGGGGTGGGGTGGACAACGGTTCCTGCCTCATGGGATTGTTGTGGGATCAACTAATGCTAACTCATATGAAGCTCTCAGAAGACTTCCTGAACAAAGTAATCCCTCAGCAGATGTTAGTACTAGGGCTGATCTCTAGAGTCTACTCTGAGATCTAGAGCCTTAATCCTCCATCTTGGGGTGGGGCTCATTGGGAAGTGGGGAGTGACAGATACAGGAATTGTCAACTGTAGGAACATCTGTTACTTTTGCAAATGCCCTAAACTTGTTCCTTTGGGACTACCCCACCCCTTGGTATTCTGCACCAAAAGTTATTTTAAAATCTGAGGGCAAGCAGGGACATGAACAGATATCTGTACACCCATTTACGGCAGTATCATTCACAGCAGCCAAAAGTTGGAAACAAGCCAAATGTCCATTGATTATGAATGCATAAGCAAAATGCAGTATATACACAATGGGGTATTCAGCCTTTTTGAAAAGGAAGGAAATTTTTTTTTTTTTTTATTCCTTTTTGTCTTTTTTTACTGACTGGTAACGGGATCGCAACCCTTGGTGTTGCGCCCGCACCTCGCTCAGCCAGTGAGCGGGAACCGGTCTCCACATGGGATCCGGACCCTTGGCGGGAGCGCCGCTGCGCTTCCAAGTGGCGCACTCTCCAGTGCGCCACTGGGCCGGCCCGAAAAGGAAGGAAATTTTGACACATGGTACAACATGGATGAACTTGGAGGGTACTGTATTATTCTCTTTGTGCTGCCATAACAAAACACCAGACTAGGTAATTTATAAATGATAGAAATTTATTTCTCAGAGTTCCAGAGGCTGGGAAGTTGAAGATTAAAGACCTGGCTGGCAAGGGTCCTGTTCCCACTTCCAAGATGGTGCCCTATATCCCCCAGAGGGGAGAAATGCTGTGTCCTCACAGGGCAGAGGGGACAGAAGGGCAAGAGAGACAAATGCTCACTGAAGCTCTTTCAAGGGCATTCATTCATTCATGAGAGTGGAGCCCTCATGACTTAATCACTTCCCCAAAGGCCCTACTTCTTAATACCCCAATGGGGATTAACTTTCAACATGAATTTTGGAGGGACGCATTCAAACCATAGCAGGTATATGCTTAGTAAAATAAGCCAGTCATAAAAGGACAAATACTATATGATCCCACTTGTATGAGGTACCTAGAGTCAAATTAATGGAGACAGAAAGTGGAATGGTGGGGGAGGGGGAATGGGGCATTAGTGTTTAATGGGGAGTTTCAGTTTGGGAAGATGGAAAAGTCCTAGAAATGGATGGTGGTGATGGTTGCACATTGTGAATGTACTTAATGCCACTGAACTGTACACTAAAAGATGGTTAAAATGGTAAATTTTATATGTATTTTACTGCAATAAAAAAAGTAAAAAAACCCAAAGCAACAGCAATTGTTCTGAGAAATTATTAATTGTTCTGAGAAACCACTGAAGAAGCTACATTATAGTTTATTGTGATGCTAATTCGGTCCAAAGTGAGAAATGAAATCGTATATACTATGTTTTAAGTTTCTAGGGCAGCACCATCTGAAGTCAGCTACTGCCTTTTTAAAACACAAGAATCTGACATTAAGAGATTTACGTTTCTCCATCCATTATTTTACGGCATCTTGAATCACATGATTTAGAGTTAAATGAAGTCCTGACTGGGCTGGTTCTGCTCGCTCACTCTGGGCAGGTGGGGGTCCCCAGACCCATGTCCATAGTGCTTCAGATGCTCTCCCCGGGCCGTCTTCACTTCCCCAGAGAGGCCAGGTAGACATACCAGAACAGAGCCACCAGGTTGCCAAAAAGCACCCGGAACTGCCAAAAAGAATAGAGTCGGACAGGCCATGGTAAGTGGGAGGCTGTGACCATATTTATCAAGCTTCAGTCACCCAGGACAGAGTTTATGTGTCCAACCACTTGTTCATTGGTTAGTCTGCACCCACCTGTCCACCCTCCCATCCATGCTGTATTTACTGAGCCGTTTGCTTGCACCAGACACCATGTCAGGCCCTGGCAGGGAGGACAAACAGTGCCCTCCTAGCATTGTTTACAGGCTGATAAACACAGTGACACAGGAAATCACAGAAGCAAACACCTGTCCCTTTTTCTCCTTCACTGGACACTCTAGCCCCTGGCTCAGCCTCTCTCACCCCAGAACCTGCTGGGCCCTCTTCTATTGCTCACCTTTCCACAATTTCTTGAGAACTTTCTAGACTTGTGATTTCTTTTATACTCTCCCACTTTTCAATATGAAGCAATCTGACTTCAGACCCCATCATGCCACTGAAGTTGCTCATGGGAGGGTCATTGATGAAGTCATTGCTAAGGCCCATGGAAACCTGTTTTTATTTTTCTTTATCCTGTAGCTTATGCTATGGTTGACCAGCCTTCTTTGTCACGTTGCTACATTCTCCTGGGTTCCTGCTTTTACTTGGTGTGTGGTGTGTATGTGTGTTATGTGTATGGTGCATGTGGTATGTGTATTTGTGTCGTGTCTGTGGGGTGTGTATGTATATGTATATGGGAGTTGTGTGTATATGTGTAGTATTGAGTGGGGTGTGTATGAGTGGCATGGGTGTGGTGGTGTGTGAAGTATATGTGTAGTGTGTGTGTAGTGGTATGGTGGGTGTGTACGTGTGATGTATACGGTATATGTTGTGTACGTATTGTGTGTGTAGTATCTGTTCATGTGTGGTATATGATGCATGTACATGTATGTATGGCATGTTTGTGTGGTGTATATGTGCAGTGGCATGGTGTGTCTGATGTGTATGTAGTGTGTGGTGTATGTGTGATGTGAGTAGTATCTGGTGGTATATGTGTAGGTGTGTACATGGTGTTTGTGTATGTGGTATAGTGTGTGTGTGATGTGCACATATGTGTGTGGTGAGCATGTACATGTGTGGTGTGTAGTGTGCATGTGTGGGGTATGTGTGTGATGTATATATGTAGTGTGTTGTGTGTAGTATCTGGTATGTGTGTGGTATAGACGTACATGTATGGAATGTTCATGTGGTATGTGTACAGAGGCATGGTGTGTGTAATGTGTGTGGTGTGCATGTGTGTTGTGTAGTATGTGGTATATATGTGTAGTGTGTGGTGGCGTGTGCAGTATCTGGTGGTATGTGTGGTATATGAGGTGTGTACATGTATGTATGGCATGTATGTGTGGTGTATGTATGTGCAGTGGTATGGTGTGTGATGTGTGTGGTATGTGTGTATGTAATATGTGGTACATGTGTGTAGTGTGTGGTGGTGTGTGTAGTATCTGGTGGTATGTGTGGTATATGATATGTTTACGTGTGTATGGTGTGGTGAGTGATGTGCATGTTATGTGTGGTATATGTAGTTTGTGGTGTGTATGATGTGTATGTGTGATGGTGTGTGTGGTGTATGTGTGTAGTGGTGTGGTGTGTTCAGTGTGTGTATGCTATATGATGCGTATAAACGTATGTGTGGTGTGCTGTGTCTGTGCAGCGTATGTTGTGTGCCTGCACATACTGAGTCTGCCTCCCTCTTCTCCCCATCCCTCCATGGAACTCTGTCCTGAGGGGGTTATGGCCAGTTACCCCTCTACTCCTCCCCACAAAGCAGGGGTGGCCATCAGCCCCATGTGAGTGTCTCAAGCAGCATGTAGAACAGGCTCCTGGGTAATCTGTGGTGTCCCCAGACAGGATGGTTTGGAGGACAGCCCTGGGCGGGCAATGTGGGTTTGGTGAGGGCCCCTCTTGCCTCGAAGAGCTTGTTGTCCTTGGGGGTCTGGAATGTTGGGGTCTGGCTGACACTGGGCAGTGGGAGATGTGGCCAGCCCACAGCGAGACCCTAGTAGGCCTCCGCAGACAGAAGGCGCTGCCCCTGCTGCCGGAGGAGCACGCTGCGAGACCCGGGAGGTGCGGTGAGGGATCTGCAGACCCCACCAGGCCTGCCCCTCAGATCCAGCGGCCTTCCAGGGGGAAGTGGTCTTGGGAACCCTGACACAGGTGGCTGATGACACACTAGAACCCAACAACCACCCAGAGTCTGCTCCACTCCTATAGCTCCCGGACCCCAACCCCTCCGCAGTGGCTGCAACCCAGCAGGCCCTTCTCCTGGCGCTTTGACCCCGTCCCTGGAGACCCCTGCCCCTGCTCAGGTGCTGCTCTGGCAGCGCTGCAGGTGGAGCAGCCCCAGGGCCTGGGAACGTGTCTATCACGGAAAACCTGAGGATGTCCGTGGCACGTGGGCTCTTCATGAGAATTTGCTGAACAAATAAATAGATGAAGCACGGACCACTTAGGAGATCCCACTAGGTGCCGTGGCTCTCGGAATCCACAGCCGTCAGTGACTCGGGATTGGCAGCAAAGCCAAGGGATGGCTGAGGAGTCCAAGGCCGACAGAGGACGAACTGTGGGGGAACGAGCCCTGTGCCCTCACCTGCACGGGGACGTAGTTGACGTTAATGAATTGCACGGGCGTCCAGACCCTCCAGTTCATCCACAGCGCTGGCCAGAAGCCTCTCCGCATCCTGGCGGCGAAGGCAGACGTGTCCTTCCCCTACAGAGGGGGCAAAAGGGGCGGTGAGCGAACCCACCGTTCCCCGAACCGCGTGGTACTGGATGCTATTCCGCTTGTGTGCAGACAGTACACCTGCGTCCTAAATGAGCGGTGTAGCTGTAAACAGCCAAACACTCAGCGGGAAGCAGTCGGAATAGCAAGGGCAAATGCTCTCACTGAGGTAGGCGATGTTAGGACCTGCAACGCTCCTAACAGGTGAGCTGACGGTGTGAATCATGCTGCTGGCCCTGGGCATAGAACTGCCGCTGTGGCTCAGCTGTCAATTGAAAATAACCTCCAGGGCTGGTCGTGGCTCACTTGTGAGAGTGTGGTGCTGGTAACACCAAGGCCACGGGTTCGGGTCCCTATATAGGGAGGGCTGGTTAGCTCACTTGGGAGAACGTGGTGCTGACAACACCAAGTCAAGGGTTAAGCTCCCCTTAACCAGTCATCTTAAAAAAAAAAAAAGAAAGAAAGAAAGAAAATAACCTCCAAAATTGATGTATTTCCAATCAAAACTTGTCAGGAGTTTAAAAAAAGGGACCCCAAAAAATTGATTCTAAGTGTCACTTGTAAGAATAAATATATAAGAATAGCCATTGTGAAAAAGAATAAAGAGGAAAGGCCTACTTTACTAGGGATTTTTTAAAATACTATAAAATTATGGTAATTAAAATAGTCTGGTAGGGGCCGGCCCGGTGGCGCACTGGAGAGTGCGCCGCTTGGGAGCGCGGCGGCGCTCCCGCCGAGGGTTCGGATCCCATGTGGAGACTGGTTCCCGCTCGCTGGCTGAGCGCGGTGCGGGCGCGACACCGAGGGTTGCGATCCTGTTGCCGGTCCCCGGTGCGGGCGCGACACTGAGGGTTGTGATCCCGTTACCGGTCAGTAAAAAAGAGACAAAAAGGAAAAAAAAAAAAAAATCTGGTAAACAGCCAAAACCCAACAAACCAACCAACCCAAAACATAAAATGAAAATGAAAAAAATTCAGCAAAAGAACAGAGTCCAGATAATATGATAAAGTTATCATTTCAAAATACTGGGGATTGTTCAATAAATGGTAATAAGACAATTTGCTATAGAAATGGAAAAAATCAGGACATGTCTATCTCCCACTATAAACAAAAATAAAACCATAAGGATACTAGAGGAAAGTATAGGAGAATATTTCTTTTTGGGTGTATCAAGACGTACAAAATAAAATCATAAAGGTAGACAAAGGTATAGGAGAGTATTTCCATTATCTTCCTATAAGGAAACCCACAAAGAAAAAAGAATGTCAGATTTGAATACGAGTTTTTTAAATTTCTGTATGAAGAAAAACACTAAAATTTTATTTATATAACTTTACATTTTAACTTTATATAAGTTAAAAGACAAACACCTAAAAAATGGGAAAAGTATTTGCTACCTGCATTTGGCAAAGGAATGATATCCTTAATATATGCAAATATACAAATCAGTAAGAAAAAAGCAAATGTTCTAATAGAAAAGAAGCAAAGTTCATGGAAGAAATACAAATAGCAGATATTTTTCACCTATCAGACTGCAAACTATTTGAAAAAGCACCCCATCAGAGTTATCAAGAGTGTGGGGAAACAAGCCTCGGGTAAGCAAAGTTCATGGAAGAAATACAAATAGCAGATATTTTTCACCTATCAGACTGCGAACTATTTGAAAAAGCACCCCATCAGAGTTATCAAGAGTGTGGGGAAACAAGCCTCTCAGACTGCAAACTATTTGAAAAAGCACCCCATCAGAGTTATCAAGAGTGTGGGGAAACAAGCCTCGGGTCTGAATTCTGACTCAAAGATTCCAAAGTTATGTGCCCTTAAGCCAGCTATTTACCCGCTCTGGGTCTCAGCATCCTCAGCTGTCCAAGGGCGGTGGCAGAACCAAACGGCATGAAGTGCTCCATGCAGAACTTGGACAAGGCAAATGTCAATAAAGTTAGCTGTTGCTGTTATTCTACACCACTGCAGGGGGTGCAAACAAAGGCTGCCTTTCTTAGAGAACAATTTTAGGAATTAACCAAACAGGAATCCTTTCACAATAGGGATAGGCATACAGTGGAATGCTGCACAGCCTGTAACATGATGTCTACAGTTAAAGATGCAGGATGCAGAGGCATCCGTGGGGGTGTGAGTGTGGAGTGGTCCCACTATACATCATTTATATGTTGATTACTTTATGCAGTTTGGTAACATTTGGCATAGATGTACAGGTCTTTAAAATGAAAATATCTTCCCTTCATATTTGGAAGGAAATATGAAGGTGCCCAAACCCAAACCTCTAATTTGTGGTACCCTTTGCTTCCTCCTAACTCAGATTTGCTAAGAACTTCCCAGCATCTCTTTCTACTATCAGGGACTTATTAGCAATCATAATTAAGTTTAAACATCTTTCCTAATTCCCCCCAGGATCACTTCTGGAGTATTCTCCTTAGTAACAAGAACTTGAGAGGCTGTTTCAAAATAAAATCTGAGTGGGATGTATTTACTTGCTGTGATTGGCAAAAACAAATCACTTTCAGGACAGAACATGACACATCTCAGACACACAGCACAACCCTACCGCCTGCTTCTGGGGACGGTGAAATGGAAGGTGCTAGTGAAGTAGGAAGGTTGGACACATTTAAGAAAACAGACATGCCTAGTGAGTACACATAAACATACCTCCTATCATGTGAAGTTTTATAATTTTAAGTTTATGCTGATAAGGTAACCTCTTCAGAGCATTAAGATGCTCCAGGCACTGAGTCTGTACAGGCTTCCGCAATATTATTAGCGGGTCTTAAACTTTTATAACATGTACCCCTTCTCAGAATCATGTTTTATATTGTATAAAATAAAATACACACATTCTAAACAAAGGAACCAATTATACTGAAATACAGTTATCAAAATATTTAGAAAACAATTTTATGATAGACTAGTATATGTGCTGCTTTATTAACACATCCAGTGACAAGGCCTAATTGCAGGTCCAAGTAGTAATGAACTAAATGATATTTCAAGATATCTGTAACAACAGACACGTTACTCTATGGGGACAAATAGATACTGCCAATTCTACAGTGGTTTGCTCCCTACATTCATAAAGGAAAATACAAAATTAAATGTCATCTGTTTATATTTCAAAATGAATATGCAGAAAATTAGATAAAACAGTAATTCCCAAATTTCTATTTTTTTTTCTTGAAAACAGTTCATATAACCTCAGGGATATAGATGAGATCACTTGAAGTATTTATTGGTTTTATTTATCACAATTCTATTGGCTTTGGCATGGTTAATGAATTAATAACATTACGTTTGTATTTCAATGTGAAAGATGGATGAAGAGTAAACGTATGTCACCATTACTGTGAAAGCATTTTGAAGATTTTTATATCTTGGTATTCAAAAAAAAGAAAGAAAGAAAGAAAAAGGAAGGAAGGAAGGAAGGAATGAAGAGGAAAAGAAGTAATAGTCTGGCCTCTCAAAACAAAATACATAAATATTTTTAAATTCTTGGATTCTTCTTTTTAGCATTAAAGCTGGATTTAACCAGGATTGGATGAATAGTAATTTGAACTCAGCCTATGGTTTTTTTTTTTTTAAAAGATGACCGGTAAGGGGATCTTAACCCTTGACTTGGTGTTGTCAGCACCACGCTCAGCCAGTGAGCGAACCGGCCATCCCTATATGGGATCTGAACCCGGGGCCTTGGTGTTCTCAGCACCACACTCTCCCGAGTGAGCCACGGGCCGGCCCGAAAATACAAAATTTCAATTTGAGTGTAGTGAAAAGTTCACAGACCCTCTGAATTCTACCTCTGCATGTCAGACTAAGAATCACAGTGCTAAATGAAGAGCTGTAGTAAGTGCTGTGGCAGACACCAACCTCCAGAAAGTTCATGATGAGAAAGAACAGCAACAGGAAGGCCGGTGCAAAGAGCAGGCGGTCCAAGAGGAGCCTCTTGATCCCTGCCAAGGGAACCTCAGAAGGGATCCAGCTTTCCATGAAGAGGTAGAAGAAGTGACTCAGCGGCCCTGTAAAGAAGAACCTGAGGCCCCACGGTGGGTGTTAGCTAGACTGGGGCTCTCTGGAAGCACTTCATCGGTCCAACTTCACCCCCAAATCCCAGGTCCTAAACCATGCCGACATCCCTCAGTACTGACCACACAGGTCTGTATGGACCTTCAAAACGTGTTCTCTTTGAATCTGCTTCAGGCATTCTTTTTTTGCCTTTAATAGACCAAAATCGCTGTGGATCCTTTGCTCCCAATACTTTCCCCCCAGTCCTGATGTGGGTGGCCAGCTCCTTCTCAACAGTCAGCTCAGAGAGGCCTTTCCTGATTGTCCTGGCTAATGTACGTACCCCTGTGCCAGCCACTCCCTGTTCCAGGCCCTTTCCATTTCTTTTTTTTTTTTTTTTTCCTTTTTGTCTCTTTTTTACTGACCGGTAACGGGATCACAACCCTCAGTGTCGCGCCCGCGCC